TCGAGAATGCGAGTGCAGCGATGTGTTAGTATTCCCCTGAACTTCGGGTTGATCTTACGAAAGTTGAATCTTTCAACTGCAGTCTAAGTATATTTCTGGTAGGTCAGATGTAATATAATTCAGGTTCCGGTTCTTTCAGTGACCGGAAACTGCTTCATGCTTGGTAGTTTCCGATGCAGTTTCATAGGCATGAAGACAAGTACCGATGGATGATACTTATAACACTTTCGAACTCAGTGTTTCATAAATGAAAACATAGCTGCAAGATATATTTTACAGGGTTCATTCGCCATGACTATGTTGAACGTCATTTCCTTGTTTATGAACAGGTATTCTTTAGGTGATTCCAATTGAGACGGACGATCAGGGCCGTTGCCTTTGTCAAATGCCGAACAAAGTTTGCTCATGCACTATGGCAGTCTTTTCGGACATAAGGATGCCTGGTAAATTTTTTGCCATGTGTAACCTGTTTATAAGCAACTACGTTTGCAGATGTGAAACAGCTTCAGTTTGATCCGTGTGACCTCTTGCCGCCGATAAAAAGTCCCCTGTCGTGCTACGGTGGTAACGCAACTGTGGACGTTAAGAGTATCGCCGGAGTTCAGAGCCAAGAATTGAACAATCGCAGTTGGTTGCTATTCGGCGTCACGCTAATCACGCTGTCGATGGTTGTATGTTTGATGGCGCTGCTGTACTTCAAATATTTCCAGCAGTACTTCAGTAATACTTTTCTTTCTTGTCATCTCAGCGACGATCTTATAATTTTACTTGTGGTTTGTTCAGAGAACGTAAAGATGTACCTGATACCGAACGATTCGGTAGTACTTCTGCCGCGAGAACAGGCTCACAAGGAGCCAAACAAGACTATATTGTTGATTTATGCACACGACTGTCCGCAGCACGATTTTGCTGTTAAGGCATTTGCCAACTACCTGCAATCGGTTTCTCAATGTACGGTGGTCAGTGATTTCAACTCCGTTGAGGAGATTTCGCGCAACAAGTCTGACTGGATGATTCGAAGCTTGGCTAATGCCGATAAGGTGGTGGTCGTTCACTCTGTAGGTTCTTACGTGCGCTATGGTTGGAAGGTGCTGCAGGGCGATTGTGGAGTGGTCATTCAACGAAAAGATCCGGTGATGTTCGATGACCTGTTCTTGTCGCAACTTGATATGTTCATCAACCAGCGGATATTCCCTGGTGACTCACATGCCAAGCCGTTCGTGTCTGTTCGCTTCACCTACACACCTAAACCATGGATCTTGCCGTACTTTGCACCGTATGTGTGCTACGAGGTGCCAGCCCAGCTGCAGTACTTTGTGCCGTGGTTGTTTGACACTGTTCCGTCGTCAGCCGTAGAACAACAGACAGGCACACCACCGTTTGTGGTCGAGCAATGGAGCGACGAATATTCACAGCTGAAGGCTGCGGTCGAAGGTATGCAGAAGTTCGTCAACGATTCCAACAACTGGTTCGAAGAGACACACGTGAAACGACGCTGCAGTGACCATTTTAGCCAGTCAGAGCGGTCGACGCTGCTCGATCCTCTTAATTTAGCTGTCCCTGACGAACTGCACAACTCGTTGCAGTTTAACAACACCTCCGTTACCGGCAGCACCGACGGTGTTGAAACCGTTACCTCGGTGGATAGCGCTTGCGTCGGTTCGACTGATTCCGTGTCCTTCTCAAGTGTTGCGCCGAAGACAAGGCCTATACTGTCACCTGCGACGGTTGCTCGAATCAATCTCCCAGTTGTATTGTGATCAGACTGTTGAAGATTTTCTCGTTAAACCTATCCACCGTCGGAAAATGGCCTGGCGATCCATGAATTTTGTGATGGCATATCAAGTCGAATCGAGGTGGGTCAAAAGATTGACAAAAGAAACTCATTTTGATACAGTGATACGATAAATGACTTGATAGATGTTCAGTTCGGATCTCGTCTATGTTGATGAACTCTGCAGAGTATTGATCGCTTCAACGGCATTGCTTCTTCTGTTAGGTTCATCCTATTTCGAACAGGCGAGGAAGCTGATTATAAAGTCGGTCAAGCCAAATGTCTGGACAGGTTCAGTGCGCGCAGTACCAGAGAGTGTCGAATATCTGCTGACTGAAGAAAAGCTCAAAATTTAATTAGAGGATATTTGACGCCAGATATTGTCATATCGCTATTTGTATACTTCGTAACTTTTAAATAAGAAAATGCGTGTCCGAAATGATTAATTTTTTCTTGTCACCTGTGATCGTTCTCACTGTAAAGTTGTTCACACAGTTTATACAGATGGATCGAAGTGGTTTTGTGCATTTTGGTTTCAGAAATGCGTGATTAATTAATGTAACAACTAGCTTACATGTTTCGATGTAACAGCCACTAGTGTTTGCACAGACGCATTGATCGACCAGAAGAGTAGAGTAATGTAATATGTAAAACAGTCAGTAGTGCGTATTTAAGTACCTTCTTCCAAATTCATGAATGCCATATATGAAGAGAGTGCAAGCAACGGAAATAGAGATTTCGGAAAAGGAGCTGATAGTTTCGCATTATGACTCAATTCTCAGCCATTTCTTTTTCAGGTCGTATGATTAACTGTACAATCTGAATATGTAATGGCAGTGCCATTGTAGAGACTTCATTGGTGCATTCTCTTGGCAATGCATGCGGAATTTG